GGGGACCGGAGTGTTAAAAGGGCAGCTCCAGCATGCACCAGGGACTGGCCTGGTACATAGTAGGCAAACAGGAGAGATATGAATAAGCCCTGAAAGCGAGCGGATGGGCGGGCGGGAAAAGGTGGGGCTCCACCCCAACTGTTCTGGGGACTGCAGCAAGCTGGTCTCCAGGTCCTGAGACAGATGGAGAGAGAACTGACTCTGATCCTGGCACTCGCCGTGCGGAGCTTTAAGTCTGTTCACCAGGGAAACTGGGGACGGCCCAACCCATTTCTTGGTCAGAAGAAAATCCAGCGCACTGTGCTGAGTAAGTGGCAGCTGTTAGCGAAATCTGCGCTGGAGACACGGCCTACACCTTTGTCCACCAGTGGGCAAGAAAGCATTCCAGAAAAAAGGGAATGTGCTATGTAGAAGGCATCGAGTTCTTTGGAATTTCAGTTTGGTTTGTTTTTTTTGACACAGCTTGGCTGTGTAGCCCTGGCTGTTCTGGAACTCGAGTCCACGAACTGCCTTTGTCTCCAGAGTGCTGGGACTAAGTGCCGGCTTGTGTGTTCAGTTGTTTGGTTTTGAATGAGCATGGCCCAAAAGCTGTCTCAAATGCTGAGTGCAGAAGAGCGGCAGGCAGGCAGGAGGATTTCAGTGCCCGGCTCCGGAATCCAGACCCAGCGGCAGTGGGAGACAGGCAGCCTCTTTCTAGCTGGAATCACCAGCATTGCACTTTGTAGACTATTACACCAGCGAAGAGGTCAGAAAGGGAACTGTGAAGTGGGGGGGGGGTTGTTAATTTTTTTTGTCAAGATAAGGTTTCACTGTGCAGCCCTGGTTGTCCTGGAGCTCACTCTGTAAACCAGGTTGGCCTCAAATGCACAGAGATTCGCCTGTCCTGAGTGTTGGGATTAAAGGCATGCGCCGCCAGCACCTGGGGTGTTAAAGAATCTAAGGCTGGGGGTCAGCTCAGTAATACATCACTTGTCTAACGTGAACAAGACTGGGTGCTATCCCAGCACTGCAAAAATATACGGACGCACAGGGGACAGATCTTCTCCCCGGCCTACAGGCGCCCTGAGCTTTGCATCATGTCCCACCATACTGTGAAGGACAACATGCCCTGTGGTCCTGGTGTTGCTTGGAAGCAGTCACTCCTCTCCCTGACAGCCCCTTTGGGGTCCCTGTGTCTCTCCGGTCTGCAGCGGCTCAGGAGTGAGTCCCTCTCAGCACCTTCCCTGCTGTGCCCACCTACACCTCGGCTGGAAGCTAGTGTCCTAAACAGATGGGACACTTTCTTCCTGTCACCTCCAAAGGGAATCTGAACTACCATCCCATCTGTTTCCAGCCTGTTCTCTACATAATAGGCCACTCCTTTGCTTAAAACCCTCCTATGGGGCTGAGATTACTTGAGGGTCAGTAAGATGGTCCATTGGGTAAAGGTGCTGCTTGCCACAAAGCCTGATGGGTCAATCTCTAGAACCCACAAGATGGAAAGAGAACCAACTCCCACAAATTACCCTCTAACCTCTACGGGCACATGATGCACACTTGCACATGTTTGCACACTTGCACACTCACTGACACACACACTGATTTAAAAAAAAAAAAAAAACTCATCAGGATGGTGGTGGTACACAACTTAAATCCCAGCACTCGGGAGGCAGTGGCAAGTAGATCTCTGAATTCGAGACCAGCCCTGGTCTACAGAGTGAGTTGCAGAACAGAGCTACATAGTGAGACCCTGCCTCAAAAAAATAACTAAATAAAAACCAATAATTCCTATGGCTCCCTTTTTGTCCATAAAACTAAATCCTTATCCTAGGAGGTGACCTCTGACAACCACACTGAGCCCAGCCACACATGCCTGCCTTCAGCACTTTTTTCATGAGTACTCTGCTGCCAGTACTCACTCCTGCTCCCTACACCTCTCCCATTTCAACTGCTTGTCTTTCAGGGTTTTTTTTTTATTTTGAAATAGGGTTTTACTGTTTAGCCTTGGCTGTCATGGAACCTCCCTGCCTCTGCCTCCTAAATGCTGAGATTAAAGGTGTGCCCCAACACACCCTTGCCTTCTAGATTTCAGTTGAAAACTGCTTCCTCAGAAACTGTTTCCTCAACTCCTCACCACCATTAGCTCCCTCAACACCATTGTCCCGCCCTGCCACTGGCCAGCATCTTGTCTGTTAGGTTTGCTGCTGGGTCTTGGTGTCTGGAACAGTGAGCACTTGGTAGTTGTGTTGTGATAGAGAATACAGAGAACCTAGGATACGGATAGAGAGGCACAGGAAGGAAGGAGGGAGGGACTTGGAGGTTCTCGGGCTTTTTCTTGTGCCCCGTTGTGGTCTGGGAAGTGTGGAGAGAAGGTCAGCTGGTCGCTCTTCCACTGCTTCTTTCTTCTGTCAGGTTTTCACCCCAATATCCAAAATATCTAACTCCCGAGTCTGTCTTGGTAATAGAACAGCTTAGATAAGCACAGCATAGCTGATTGGAATGGAGTTAACTGATGCGTCTCTCAACACTCGTTTTAGATCTGTAACTGGTTCATCAATGCCCGGCGTCGCCTTCTCCCAGACATGCTTCGGAAGGATGGCAAAGACCCCAATCAGTTCACCATCTCCCGCCGTGGGGGCAAAGCCTCTGATGTGGCTCTCCCCAGGGGTGGCAGCCCCTCCCTGCTGGCCGTATCTGTACCGGCCCCCTCCAACGTGCTCTCCTTGTCCGTCTGCTCCGTGCCGCTCCACTCAAGCCAAGGCGAAAAGCCAGCAGCAGCCCCCTTTCCACAAGTGGAGCTGGAATCCCCTAAGGCCCTGGTGACCCCTGGGAGCACACTCACCCTGCTGACTAGTGCCGAGGCTGGAAGCCCTCCCGGTGGACTCTTCAATACGCCGCCACCCACACCCCCAGAGCAGGACAAGGAAGACTTCAGCAGCTTCCAGTTGCTGGTGGAGGTGGCGCTGCAGAGGGCCGCTGAGATGGAGCTTCAGAAGCAGCAGGATCCAGCACCTCCATTACTACACACTCCCCTTCCTCTAGTCTCGGAAAATGCCAAGTAGGCGCCTGCTACCAGGTGGCTCGAGGTTCAGGCCAGCTGTCCCAGGTTCCTGGTTCACTTCCCTTTCATACAGAGGGTTATCTCCGGATCACTGCCAAGCATCGGATCATCTCTGTCCAGAGGTCCTCAGCAGAAAGTCAGCAGCTGCACTGTTACGGGGCCTGCACTCTGCTGACTGCATTCCTTCAAGCTTCCTCTCTGAAGAGGCCAAGGCACCAGAGCCAGGTGCTGCTGCTGCTGCTTCTCCAGAGAACCCTGGGACGTCTGCACTCCAGCCTGCTTTCCGCGGCAGGCTCCGGAAACTTGCCAAGTTGAGACTTGAGCGAGGTCCAAGCTGCCCCTAAGCTGTGCCTCTTTCGGTCAGGCCAGGTGTGCACATTCCAGCTTACTCAAAGGACAAAGGAAAAGGCCCAGCAGATGTCACAGAGCCGACTCCAGTTGAATGTTTAGATTTTTGCTAAGTTGTGTATTTTCCTTTTGCTGTGGTTTGTATTAATGGCAGTAGGTAGCCTGGAAGCACGGGTGTGGGGAGAGAGCACCTTACGCTATGGAGCTTTATAAACGGGGTGATCTGCCGCCGCACTGGGGATGATTGTACAAGGGACCAGCAAAGTCTCTGCAGCCGTGCTGAATTCCAGCGGGAAGTGGTTGTTTGATTCTTGGTTTGGATTACTCTATTAAAAAAAGACAGAAGAAAAATACCTATAGGTGTTGGATTATTTGCAGCAGGCACAGAAGGGGATAAAAGTCCAACTGAACCAGATAGCCATTTAGACACAGCAGAGATGGATGCTAAGACTAGAGACATACTTGTTTTTACTGTTATTTTGGGATGGTTAAGCTAGACAGAAACAGTTTGTTTTCTCTCTCTCCTTTGGGTATTGTCTCCCCTTCCCTTTTTTGTAGCCTGTTTGGATTCCTTCAGGAGCTTGGTCAGAACTCGGTAGCACCAGCATCTCCTACTTGGGAAGAGTGAGCCATCTACTGGTCAGGAGGCCCTTCAGACACGCTGCTTCTTCCACAAAGGCAGCTGGAACCTTCTTGGGAAAGGGGTTAGTGCGGCACAGGTCCACACTGGGAGTTGCCTCTGTTTCAACTCCCTTCAAGTTGGAATTGCAAGGGCCTGCCTAAATTTCCTGGGGAAACTGACCACACGTGGTTTTAATCTCTCCCCTCCCCCCTTTTACTTTGCTGGGTTTTGTTTTTTGTTTTGTTTTGTTTTGTTAGTTTTCAGCAACAGTATACCCCATCTTTATATATCCTAAGAAACACTAATCCTAGGTTTTTATTAACCAAAATATTTGTGTTCTGAATATTCAGAAGATTTGAGGAGTCCTGACTGTAATTTCCTGATGTTTACTAGGTTGTGAACAGAGAAGAGGCTCCTGGGTGTTCACTGACTTGGAGTGCCTGTCCCAGAGAAAGATACACCACTCTGGCCTTTCTAGGGAGCCCCGGCCACTCGTACAGGCTTCCCTACCTCTCCTGAGTGGCCTAGTCCCACCCCTTGCTGTGCAAGTGGGAAGTGAAAGACTTGCTCTCTGTAGGAGAATGCCTTCCTAGGCTGCATCTCCTGCTTCCCTCCAGGGCATCCAGCACCCTCGTCCCCTAGAGGCACTGCTAGGGGGATGAACATGGCAGCTTCGTAGAATTTGCTGTTTGCCCACTTCGACCCCAACTGTCTGTGAGCCGAGATCCCCGGTGATTGCTGCAGGATCCCTACAGTAGGGGGTGACATTGGGGTGAGTGGGAGTTTTCTCCTCCACAGTGCACTGAGCAGGAGAGGAGGGAGGGGGGAGGGAGCCATGCTGCTGACATATTCTGGCATTCCCCCTTCCTGGAATACAGTGGGGCATCTAAGGGGTGGGGCAGTCTCTGCTTAGGTTGCTTGTAAGATAAATCTGAAGTATGGTTGTCCCATTGAACAATATTTGAGCAAAAAACTACTGTAAATAATTGGTTTGTGTCTTTTGTCAAATAAAGTTGTTTGGTTTTATTTTTAAAAGTTAAACTGAATTCTTGATTAGACCTACTATGCTTTTGAGACAGAGCAGTCACTGAGGTCTTTGTTGTTTCTTCAAGACAGGGTTTCTCTGTGTAGCCCTGGCTATCCTAGAACTTGCTCTGTAGACCAGGCTGGCCTCAAACTCGGAGATCCTGAGTAGGGGGGTTAAAGGTTTCTTCGCCTCCACCTCCTGGCCAGTAACTGCGTTTTTATCTGCTTTGCCTCCTCTACTGTCCCTTTAGCCGCCTAGGTTAGCGCAGTCCTTTCCTGGTCCCTGTGTGCTCTGTTCAGCACTCTACAGTCCTTGTAAGCCTGGCCAGTCACTTCTGATCACTGGTAAACACTGGGTTTGCTAAATGACGAGTGGACCTGGGAGCTGGCAAGTCCACCGAGTGAGGAAAAGCATATTACAGTTTGACAAACCCCACAAAAAAAAGCAGGTGTAAGATCTGGACCACATCTGCTTCAGCCGCAGCTGAAGTCAGTCTGACTTCCACTTCCCTGTTGTGTCAGCCTGTAAATTCCCATTTGTTTCCACTAGCTTCGGATGTATTTTGTCACATCAAGATGGTAACTGTGGCGTAAAGCATAAAAGCCAACAACAGTAGTAAACAGCTGTGCTGTGTGCCTGGGCCTCTGCAGTGATCATCTGGTTATTTCGTACACATATACAAGAGTGATTTCCACGACCTGGGCAAAGTAACTGAGTGAGGGTTTAGGTTACTTGTTGAATTCAGCCAGTGTAGGTATGAATTTAGGATTATAATTAAGTCTCTTGCTTCAGGGTCACTGAGAGATGTCCAGACCCAGTTCAAGTAGTGGTGAGTGGTTTACCACTGCCAAGCATCCAGCTGGAGAGAGAGAGAGAGAGAGAGAGAGAGAGAGTGAGAGAGAGAGTGTGTCTCCTGTGTGAACACAGCCTGGCCTTGAATTCCTGATCCTCCAGCCAGGCAGTGGTGAAGCACACCTTTAATCCTAGCGCTCAGGAGGCAGAGCCAGGTGGATCTCTGTGAGTTCAAGGCCAGCCTGGTCTACAGAGCAAGATCCAGGGCAGGCACCAAAACTACACAGAGAAACCCTGTCTCGAAAAACCAAAAACCCAAAAAACAAAACTGAAATTGAGTACTCATTACTCATTCAACAGGGCCTGTTAGTATCCCCAAACTAGACACTTCCAGGAGGAAGAAGTAAGCCTCAAAAGAGATTTGTTTTTTGCTGGGCCTAATATAGTTCCAGAACTCTAGGAGTAGAGGCAAGATCAGTGACTCAAAAGCTAGCCTGGGCTACGTATCCAGATGCTATGGCATCAAGAGTAATATGCCTAGGCTGGAGAGATGGCTCAGCTCTTAAGGACAGGCTCACAACCAAAAATATAAGAGTAATATTCCCATATTGGTTTGGGTCTGAATGTCCCCTGAAGGCCCTTCATTTAAAAGCTGTTGCAGGCTGGGCGGTGGTGGCACACACCTTTAATCCAGCACTCGGGAGGCAGAGGCAAGCCAGTCTACAAAGCCAGGTCCAAGACAGACAGAGCTACACAGTGAAACCCTGTCTTGGTAGGAGGTGGAAGCTATTGCAACCTGATGGGAAGGGGCTTTTAAAAAATATAATTTATTTATTCTTATCTTATGTGCATTGATGTTTTGCCTACATGTATGTCTGGGGTGGGGATCAGATCTTGGAGTTACAGACATTTGTTGCCATGTGGGTGCTGGGAATTGAACCCGGGTCCTCTGTAAGAGCAGTCGGTGCTCCCAACCACTGAACCATCTCCCCAGCCCCGGGGAGGGGCTTTTTAAAATTTTTTTTACAGATCATGGAAGCTATAACTGGTTAGTCAATGGGTGGGTTTATAATTTAGTGACATAGGGGAGTAGGAACTAAGAGGAGGGGACTAAGTAGTCACTGGATGGGCCTGCCCTAGCCGAGTCTATACGGTGGTCTCACCCTTTTCCTGCTTTCCTTTCCTTTCCATGCTAGAATACAGTAAACACCTTTGCTCTACCCTTAACCTCTAGTCAAGCCTGAGCTAACAGAAACCTTCATCCTTTAAATTATTTCTCAAGGGGGGCTGGAGAAGTAGCTCAGCAGTTAAGAGCACTGGCTGTTCTTCAGAGGCCCCGAGTTCAATTCCCAGCACCCACATAGTGGCTCACAACCATCTCTAATGAGCTCTGGTACCCTCTTCTGGCCTGCAGGCATACATACAGGCAGAGCACTGTATAATAAATAAATAAATAAATAAATAAATAAATAAATAAATAAATAAATAAATAAATAAATAAATAAATAAATATTAAGAAAAATCATTTCTCAAGGTATTTGGCCATGGTAATGAGAATGTGACTAATACACCCTAGAAAGGAGAAGTGCTTAGAATGGTCTCACTTCGTAAGGAGAAATGGCTTCTAAAAATACTTTTAAAAGAACTAAAACCAAAACTGGCTTCTGGGAGCTACAGATACAGCCCATTGATAGAGTACTGGCGTTCATGAAGCCCTGGGTTTGCTCCCCAGCACTCACTCTGGCGTCATAGTTCAGGCATGGTAGCTCATACCTGTAATCCCAGAACTCTTATGGGTAGCATTATGACAATCAGAATTTCAGCCTGTGAGTTGGCTGAGTATGTAAAGGTGCTTGCTTGCAAAGCCTAACCACCCGGTTCAATTCCTGTGTGATAAAAAGAGCTAACTCTACAAGTTGTTCTTTGCTCTCATATGCACTGTATGGCACATGTGTCACACACACACACACACACACACACACACACACACAACTTTAAAAGTTCAAGATCATCTCCAGCTATATAGTTGGAGGCTACAGGAGACATATAAGGCCTTGTCTATCCCCCAAAAAACTTAAGCTGTAGGTTGATGATACTCAGGAATTGACCTGTGAATGTGACTGATGCCTCTTCCTGAAGCTGAATATATGACCCCTTGTCATAGAACAGCCTCATTTGGTAAGGACAGCTTTTCTTTTTTGTTTTCAATCTCACTATGTAGCTCAGGCTAGCCTCAAACTCAGGGGCCTTCTGCCTCAGCCTCCCGAGACACTACATCGGCCTTTTGGTGTGTTTGGGGAAGGAGGGGTTGGGACCAAACTAGAGATTTCCCACCTGCTAAGTGCACACTCCACAAGTGAGCTGTACCCTAGCCTCCAGTCTTAGTAGTTATAGGAGAAAAGAAAAAAAGGCCTTTTGGGTGGTGGTGGCCAACTTTAATCCCAGCACTTGGGAGAAAGAGGGAGGCAAATCTCTTGAGTTCAAGGCCAGCTTGGTGTACAGATTGAGTTCCAGGAGAGCCAAGGCTACACATAGGAACCCTGTCTGTGTAGCAACAACAAAAAGGTCTTAGGGGCTGGAGAGATGGCTTAGCAGTTAAGAGTACTAGCCGCTCTTCCAGAGGACCCGGGTTCAATTCCCAGCACCCACATGGAAGATCATACACACACACACACCTGCCTGTAACTCCAGTTCCAGGGGTCCCACACCCTCACACAGACATACATGCAGGCAAAACAGCAATGCATATAAAATAAAAGATAAATTTAAAAAAAGAAAATAATAAAGGTGGGTAGTGGTGGCAAATGCCTTTAACGCCAGCACTCACGAGATTATCTGAGTTTGAGGCCAGCTTGATCTACAGATTGAGTTCTAGGACAGCTAAAGCTACTCAAACCCTGTCTAGGAAAACTAGATGGATGGATGGATGGATGGATGGATGGATGGATGGATGGATGGATCCTCCCTGAACTGTTTGGCTTCTGAGCCCTTGACAGTCTATAATGACCTGAAGGTCACCTTCCTGGGATTACCACTTTAATCACTAACCTCATCCATGGGCTCCACATCACAGAGTGTGCCAAAACTACACTACACAAGTACACCTTCCTTCCCTGTCTTCGTCTTCTCCATAGCATGGGCAGGCAGTGGCTTTCCCCACAGTCTGTCAGGTTGCTGTGACCCCTCATGTATATCTGAGGCCAGCGAAGCACACCTTCCTCTCCAGCCTCACTGCAACAGCTGTCAGGGTCACAGGCCTTCAGTGGGAAGGAAATAGTCTAAAGGCTGAGATCATGTGTTTGACATGCTAAAAACCCTACACCTCACAAAGACAAAGTGTGCACTACTTCCAAATCTGTCTCCCACCTCCAAACCTGACTTCAGGTTCTTTTCCATCTCAGACCACCCAAGATGTTTATTTTAACCAGATGCATGCTCTGGGATTCAGCCAGATTCCTCACTTCCTAAGATAAGAAAGCCTGAGAGAATTCAGAAAGGGAACCAGCCAGTCTCACCCATTAGTCACATACCTTCTAGGCTAGGGCTTACCTGGGCTGCCAGCTAGGCTTCCTCCAAAACCCTGAAGCACAGATCGGGTTTCCAGCATCTCACTTTTAACCTCTGATTTGCTGGTCACCTTGAGCTACATGGCAGGATCCCAGATCCTCTAACCACAAACCTTCAAAAACGTCCCAGACTCTAAGAATTAAAATTGAGGGAAAGAGAGAGGGCTCAGCGGTTAAGAGCACTGACTGATGTTCCAGAGGACCCAGGTTCAATTCCCAGGCTGTCAGGTGTCTGAT